TTCTTACAGTATAGCCTTATTTTATGTATTGAAATGCCCTCCTGAATAATTCAGTTTTGCATAGTTTGCAGAATGCCGGGAGGCTGGGAAGCCTTCCTGACCTCCTCAGACAGGCCATTCCACAAGGTCACAATAGCAGATGCGTGTGTACAGGCAATTGCCGGTCTTGCCCGTTTGCAGGGTGGCACCTGTGGAAGGCCCTTATCAGATGAGTGAAGCTGTTGTGAAGGAGTATAGGAGGAGAGGTGGTCCGACAAATAGGAGAGTCCAAGGCCATGAACAGTTTTGCTTGTGATTATCAGTACCTTAGATTGAACCTGGATTCATGTGGGTGGCAGTGTTGGTCAGAAGCAGCAGAACAAAGGCTGAGTCAAGCGGCATCTTTGAAACCAACAAAGTTTTAGTCGAAGTATAAGCTTTCATGTGCAAAACACACTTCTTCAGACAAAAAAGGTTTGTTTTTTGTCTGAAGAAGTGTATTTTGCACACGAAAGCTTACACTCTGAATAAAACTGTTGGTTTCAAAGGTGCTGCTTGACTCAAACTTTGTTAAATTGAACCTGGTAACTGATGGGCAGCTAGTGGAGTGACTGCAGAATGAAAGTAATACACATGCTCCACCTAGCTCCTGATAATAGTGCAGCTGCAGCATTCTGTAACAGCAGCAGTCTCCAACAGCAGTTTCTTACTTGAATTCAAGGGCAGGCCCATGTAAAGTGCGTTACAGTAGTCCAGTCTCAGTGTTAACCGTGTCATGGATCCAGGTGGGCAGATCAGCCAAGGCAAGATAGAGGGCTAGCTTCTGGGCTGAATGAAGTTGGAAGAAAGCATTTCTTACAGCTGTCACAATTTGCTTCTCCAGCAGTAATGCCCTGGGTCCAGTGTAACCCCTCGGCTTTTATCTACATGCTTCATTTCTACCCCACCTTTGTCCCCAGTGGGAGACACAAAGCATCTTAAATTGTTTTCCTCTCCTCCGTTTCATCATCACAACCCCGTGAGATATGTTAGGCTGAGCGTGTATGTGACTGGCCCAAAGGGCCACCCAGCAAGCCTCCGTGGCAGAGCATAGGATTCGGATCTGGGTCTCCCAGATTGTGGGCCAACACTCCTACCTCTGCACCCACGCTGTGGTGCTTGGCTACCTGCCTCTTGCTGCTGCCTGATCAATTATCCACTTCCAGGGCTATGTTCTGCATCAGCAGAATCCTGGCTCTCCCCTTGCCATCAGGCATACTGGGGTAGGGAGGCGGGCAGGAGAAGACACATCCTGTTGTGTGCGGGTGGGTGGCAGGGATGTGGGTGTCAAAAGAGGCTGCTGGAGGCTTCTTTGCTACTGAGTTTGTCCAAAACGTTGCTGCCACATGAGGAGCAGAAGCAGAATGCTTTAGGGAATCCCCACAGCCCTGTGCTGGCCTTTGTACTGACCTGCCTGGTGTTTGTCTCCAGGGAGCTCCATGCAGCAAATCGGCCTGAGCGTACCCGTGATCATCATCAAGCAAGAGGAAGCCTGCCAGTGCCAGTGTGCCTGCCGGGACATGAGCAAGGAGAAAGCCAGCAGCAGCAGGAAGAACTGTTCCCCATCTGACTCCAAACCTTCAGGGGAGCCTCCTGCGCCAGGACCTCAGCCCTTCCCCGTGGCTGCTGCTGCCGCCCCCTCCACTGCTGCCCTCTCTTCCACGTTGCCTCCTTCCTGCGAGCAAAACTCTCTGGCGGGGAAGCCATCAGACTCGCAGACCCAGTCCCTAAGTGCCATGGATGTTTCCGACTTCCTCTCCCTCCAGAGCCAGGAGGCCTCCTCCCCACTGATCCCCATTGAAGCCCTGCTGCAGGGGGAGGAAGAGCTCGCCCTTGGCAGCAGCTTCCCCAAGTGACGCCCTCCTGATCCCGAGGAGAAGGTTCAGCAAGAGCCTGCTGTGCTCCCTGGCCATTGAGTCCTGTTCTTAGGAGAAGAGGCCTGTCTGGAGGAAAAAGGCAAAGATGCGTCGGAACCGCTGGGCCACTATCTCTGTCGTGCCCCCTTCAGCTCCCTGTGAATGAACGGGGGAATCGGAGTCGTGTGGAAAGGACTGTTTGGGCTGGCGCTGCCTATTTGCACATAGCTTGGTGGAGGCTGGGGAATGGTGCGGGCAGCAGGTCGAAGTCCTTGTTACAGTCTTCAGCAGAGTGTGCACTATTATGGGGGGGGTGAGGGGAACGGCGAGACGGGCTTCCATTCGAGAGGCAACTGCACTTTTCAAGATGGTGTCACCAACTTTCAGGGCCAGGGAGGAAGCGAGCTCACACTCCTTCCCAAAGGAGTTTTCCTCCCTGCTTGGAAGATCTAGAAGTCTAAGCGAGGCACATCTCCTCAGAGTTTGCACTGGAGTAAAACACTCTGTAGAGGCAGCCAGGTCTTCAGACTCACTCTCTCTTTCTCTCTCTCTCTTTCCTGCTTGGTAGTTGAGTGCCACTCTCAGGAGCAGCGGCCTGGGTGTTTACACAGACATTGGTGGCTCATTTGCACTGTTTCAGCTTTACCAGAACCACTTGCCCAAGCACAGTCGCTTTGCAGTGTAGCAAACACAGCCATAGGCGCTTGGCAGGTTTCTTTCTGTAGGTGTGCAGCTTTGACTGTGGAAGCCTATCTGTCCTACAGGTAGATGTTGCTCTTGCCACATAGGAATTGCCCAGCCAGTTGGGGAAAAGCCCTCTTAGACGATGCTGCCCAGCCCTTGGGCAAGTGAATGCCAGTCTCTCTCCAGGGAGGAGTAGGTATTGACAGCTTCCCACTTGCTTCCTCTAGGCTGTCAGGCAGTTCCATGCCTGCTCAGTTCTGCCCTCCGCATGCTGCTATGGAAATTGCATCCACCTTTCCTTCTAACTTTACTCAGGGTAAAATTGTAACACAGATTCCCTTCACACCAAAGCCTGTAGTGCTCTGGGAAGCATCCTCTCCTTTTCTAGCATTCGAATATCCAGTCACTAATTAGGAAGTAGGTGCTGTTTTGAGGGCTCTGCCCAACTGCGTCTGGGTTTGTGGCTAGTCCTTTTCTCTTCTAGGCACTTCATTTTGCATGCAGAATAGTTTGACAGAAGGTGGCTATTGGGCAGTTTCTTGTCTACTGAGGGCCAAATAACATCGACTGCTCCAGGAAGCTGGGGGCAGACTTAAGCTTTCTCTGGAATTTGCCCTGGTGTAGAAAAGATGAGGCTAGTGACCCCCACCCCTAGCAGCCTGGAGTGGGTGGTTTCCAGTGAACCTCATTACAGCCAGCCATTAAGAAGGGTCTTAAGTATTTTGGTAGATCTGAGACAACCTTGGGGAGGGGAAGAGATTGTCTGCACTAGAAGAGTGGATTCTGGCTCTTGGAGTGCTTTCACACACTGTAAATAATGCACTTTCAATCCACTTTACGTGCACTTTGCAACTAGTTTTCACAATGTGAAATTGCAAAATCTACTTGCCAACAGTTGCTAAAGTGCATTGAAAATTGAAAGTGCCCTCTAGGGTGCTTTCACACATGCTGAAAAATGCACTTTCACTTGACTTTTCATGCACTTTAGCGATAATTTGCAAGTGGGTTTTGCTGTTTCACACAGTGAAATCCAGTTGCAAAGTGCTTTGAAAGTGGATCGAATGTGCATTATTCAGCATGTGTGAAAGTGCCCAGTTTTTAGTGTAGGAAGGGGCAGCCTGGGTTGCACAGAGTTGTCTCGAAGCATTACCTAATTTAAACTAGATTATAGCACAGTAGAGAGCAGAGAGGGCAGTCCTTGGCCTGGAAATGGTTGTGCTGTATTGTTTGCCTTGGAGTCCCACACAACACAGCACAGAGGCGGAGCTCTTTTTCTCTGGCCTTGCTGCAATCTGCTGTTGATTTCTCAAAAGGCCTCCTTGGTCCTCCAACTGCAGCAGACCTGGGTTCAACCTTTCAGCTGCCCCCTTGGTACAACCTAGAAAGTTGCTAGCTATACTGCCTCCTTTGGCAGTTAGTCAGAGGCTTATGGCAGTAGACATTCACAAGCAGGCTCTGCATTGCTGCTGCTGCTGTCCTTGGTTCCCTTCAGCGGTGGAAAGCAGAGCAGCTGTTGAGAAGGTTCCTTTTTGGGGGGTATTCTCTCTTCTGCTCCTTTAATTTTATTTATTATTAAACTGAACTGAACCCATCACTTTGAGAATCGCCATCTCCTTCCCATGAGTGGGTGAGGCTCGGTGTGCCTGGAGGGCTTCTTGGTTGGACACAGGGAGAGGCCCCCATGCTGGGCTGTCAGGGATTGGGCTTTCCACAAGGACACCACCTTTTTGTTGGTTTTGTCTGTGTTTGGAACAGCTGTTGGGGGCCCTCTAATGAGCCTGGATGCTGCTGCCACCTGACTGACCTTGCTGCTCTGCTGGGTGCCCTGGGCTGGGTGATTTGGTTGTGCTAAGAACCCAGGGCAAGAATAGCATCATGCTGGGGGACTGAAGGGAATGTTTTTGGAATCTGCTGCATTTGCTGGAAGCTGCTAATGGGAGTCTAGAGAAGGAGAGTTACTTTGCTAGGGCTGCTCCATTTACACGGACATGCTGGGCTATATAATGCACTTTAGTTCTCTTTAAAACCGACTGCTGCAATTTTCATTTGTAAATATTTTTCAGAAATTTTTTTTCTCTCCTGTCTCCATTTTTTCGGTCTGACTTTAATGTGGTTGTGCAAAAAGAAGAGCACTTAACCTCCGTGCAATACGTGTATCTAGAAGCGGCATTCACATGCACTCCGGGTGTTTGTGTGACTGCAGATGTGTGAGATGGATAGAATTGGTGTAGGAATCAGCTCAGTGATGGGTGCTCTGCCCCCTTCTGATTTATGCATTCTTAAGCAAATGTCCAGTCTATGCAAAAAAAAAAAAAGGGGGGGGGGAGATTCAACTGTATAGAATCAGACTTGAGTCACTCGCATTTTCTGAGGTGACTCTGGCCACCGTTGAGATACAGACTCTAGTTTGATACATCTGCCTTCCTCCTTTAAAAGCCTCCCAGAGAGGAAGGGGCCAGAGGGGAAAGGAAGAAGGCTGTCTTTTATTGGATTTGTAGCACCTTCTGCTCTTCTGTCATATTCTGGCTTTATTTCACTGTAAGGGATTCTCCATCCAAAGTGACGAAATCCTTCAAAGAGTTTGCAGTCTCTTCTGGCGCCTTCTCACAAACATGCCAGAGGTTGATCCGTAAGGGACCTAAAGGAACCCAACAAAAGGAGTTTCATTTGACAGACATAGAGGAGATGCCAGCCATTTCACTGAACAGCTCCCTCTTCTTTGCAACCCCCCCCCCCCCAACCACCACCACCAAAGCTTCTTGGTGATTGGGTTAATTGGGCTAGGAAGAAGAACTGTGGATCACAGGTGTTTAATGGGCATTTTTGGTATCCTCTTTTGCAAGTGGTCTCTCCAGATTTTTCACAAGCATCCTCTGTAGTTGGGGACAGGGCTAACCTTTAAACTTTTGCAGCTTGTTCTGCTGTTTCTTTCTAGGGTTTGGGCTCTGGTTCTGCATTGCCTAATGCCAAGCAAACTGGATAGTTACACATGGGTCCATGTGTGCTCATTTGTGGAAACTATTTTAGTGGTGTGCACACTGGCCAAAAAAAAGAAAGGTTTCTATGCAGGAGACGCTTTCAAATTTCTACCCTCCCCTTTGTTTTGCTATTTTCTCCCTTCAGTCTTCCCCACTAAAGCCCCAGGGGAGGTCTTCAGATGGGAGGACAGGGCTGTCTATTAACAGAAAAGGCTCCATTCTTTGCCATGCCCCGTTGTCTCTTCCCATCCACTGAGATACTGAAGCTTTTTATGCAGGGAAAGAGGAGCTTCTGTTCTCTCCATCGCTGGCTAGAAAAGCTGGGAGAGTGGGGCTAAGGCTTGATGCGGTGCCTTAAGGGGATTTTGGCTTTCCCTTTTGCATAGCTTGGGGCATATAAGAGAGAGAGGTTGCCTTGCCCTTAGAAGACAGTCATGGAAATTTGCCTGTTCTCACTGTGCAGGGAGATGACAAGCTGTTATCCCCCACCCTGGAAGTGTGAGATGGAGGGCAAAATTGGGGAAGAAGACCCCTTATTGCTGTCGCACTAGAGGGGGGACTGGGGACCCCCCCCAGGCCTGTCAGATACCTTGCAAGGGGACTTTGGTTGCACCCATTTCCAGCCTGGATCTGAACAGGTGACCTGCAGACCCAGCACATCTCTGGCTCCCTCCCTGACAAAGAGGCCCAGAATTTAGTCTCCTGCTGCCTGCATCTCCAGACAGACACTAGAAATGGAGATGATTTGAGGTCAGCTTCTCTCAGGAGTTGTGTGTATTGTGTTTAAACAAACTTAATTTAACTCTGAACATGGGAACAAATGTCCTTGCATTGAGTGATGTGAAGATGTTAGTTACAGGTACAGTACTTCCAAAGGAAGAGTCTCTCCCAACCCCCCCAACCCCAAGTGTAAACATGAATTTGTATTTTTGAAGAATGTAAAATGTGAAATAACAGTGTTTGCTTAAAACGACTCGATTTTGTATAAAACATTAATATTGTACTTTGCAATACCTGCAAGGAAGTGAAAATTAATTTTTTTTAATTGAAAGCAATATTAATACGAATGGAATCCTAATTAAACGCTTATTTAAACCTGGTAGCTTCGGGGAAGTTATTTCTGGCTAAACGGGGGTTGGTGGGTCGAGCGAGTGCGCGCAACTCAAAACCGCCCGGCTGGCAGTGAGGGGGCTCTTTCTGCGCCTGCTCAGAGCATGCTGAAGGCAGCGCGCTAGGCCTGTGCCTATTGTTGGTTCTGCCGGAAGTGTATGTTTACGGCACCGGAAGAGGTGTTCGTATGCTGGGCAGCGTGAGGCGCCGGGGTCTGCGGGCGGTGGCAGGTGCGCTGAGCGGTGCAGGGGCCGCCCGGGGCGGCTCCGCAGCAGCCGTCATTCCCCTTCTTCCGCTGGCCGGGCCGAGCGCGGAAGGTTGGTGAGAGACACGCGGGCGGGCTCCCTGCTCCCTTTCGGCGGGGGGCGGAGGATCGGCATCCGACCGGCGCCCTCTTGCTCTCTCTCTCGTTCTGTCTCTGCCAGGCCGGGAGCGCGCCCTGTCTTCCGCTGTCGTCGCCTTGCGCGAGGGGGGCCTGGTGGCCGTGCCCACCGACACCGTCTATGGCGTTGCCTGCCTAGCGCAGGACTCGCGAGCCCTGCGGGCCGTCTACCGGCTGAAGGGACGCGACGGCGCCAAGCCGCTGGCCATCTGCCTCGCCGACGTGGGTCAGGTGCACAGGTGGGGACGGGCGTCCTCCCGCAGCTGGGGTTACCAACTCCTGGGAGGCTTTGGGAGGGGGAGGAGCTCATCAGGGATGTCATGTCTGGGAATCCTGCTTCTAAAGCTGCCCTTGCCTTCAAAAAAAAAACTGATCCTTGTAGACTGGAGATCATCACTCATAATTAGGGAGATCTCAAAGACAAATCTGCAAGTTGATATCGCTTCCAACATTTCCTCCCCCTCTTATTGTCTGGCTGCTGACTGACCCCTTCATCCTTCCTACTTTTCTCCCTGGCAGATACTGTAAGGTGGCTGTGCCTGATCAGCTCCTTCATGATCTCTTGCCGGGGCCCGTCACGCTGGTCCTAGAGCGCTCTCAGACCCTCAACCCAGATCTCAATCCCTTCACGCCTGTGAGTCTCATTTTGCTGGGTGGTGGTGGGGTCTGCCTTTCAGATCTGGCCAACCCAACTGATAATTGACATTTGGGACCACAAAGCCAGTTTACCCACTTGCCGGGGTGGGGCAGTGGGAGGTGATTGCTGTGAAAGCTCTTGGCAGTCTTGGCTGTGAATGCGCCTTTCTTCTTCCTTCACAGCTGGTTGGTGTCCGCGTCCCCAGTCACTGGTTCGTTAGGGAACTGGCCAGGGTGTGTGCCGCCCCCTTGGCCTTAACAAGTGCAAACATCAGTGCCCAGGCAAGCAGCTTGTCAGTCACGGTAAGGGCCCTCTGAACTACTAGGTATGGGCTGAAGGTGGAAAGAAAGAGAGAAGACCTGGAGAAGACAGAGGGGAAATTCTCAGGAGAACATTTAAAAAACCTCAAACATACTTGTTTTGGGGGGTTTTGGAATCAGTGAAGAGCTTCTCCTTAATGTGTAGGGTAAAGAACTGTGGTGGCTCAAGTGGTTAAGACGCTGAACTGCAGGCTGTGGAAGGTCAGTAGTTCAGCAGTTCAAGACCCGGGTGCCGCAAGACGGGGTGAGCTCCTGTCTCTAGTTCCAGCTCCTGCCAACCTAGCAGTTCGAAAGCAAGAAATTGCAAGTAGATAAATAGGTACCACTTCAGTGGGAAGGTAACAGCATTCCGTGCGCCTTGGTGTTTAGTCATGCTGGCCACATGACCACGGAAACGTCTTCGGACAGCGCTGGCTCTTCGGCTTTGAAACGGAGATGAGCACCGCAACCCTAGAGTCGGATTCGACTGGCTTTCGAGCAAGGGAATCTTTACCTTTTTAAAGAACTATACCAACATGCAGCACTAAGGAACATTAATTCCTGTGTGTATTATAGACACGATATATTTACAACACATATTGGCCCCATTCACATGGAGCATGATAGGCGGATTTTCCGGGCGCGATCACACCGCAACATCTGGGAAGTGTAGTGTACCTGTAGCTAACCCGTGGCTTCTTGCTGAAGATACGGAGTAAAAAACTAGTACATACGATGTGCTAGTTTCTGGAAAACGCGGGGCAAGGGCGGGCGTCTTATCGCGTTTCTGCTGGAATCCTGTGGCATCCGGTGCCCGCCCATGTCCCGTCACAAACCGGATGTTTGGGGGGTTTTTTAAGTCTCCACAGGATGCGCACAAATGCCCACCGGCACATGTGCACACTGTGATGAGGGGGAAAAATTCCTGTTTGCCACAGAAGTGGCGCCTAGCGATTGCCAGTGTGATCGCGCCGCGCCGCTTCTTTGCCGTGCTTCAGGATAGCCATGTGATCGGCACCTAACGGCATACCCATGGGACCTCCACGGGACATGTGATCGGGCTGCCGCACATTACTTTGCTCCGGGGCAAACAGCAACGCTTCCCCCCCTTCCCCCCCCCCCCCGCATTTTCCGGCCCGTGTAACCAGGACCATTGTTTAATTGTGACTGATTTTGCCTGGAATTCTGTCCATTACTCATTTTCCTTTTCTAAGAAATTAGTTTTTCAGATTCTGTTTTTTCATACTAGTTAGAAATTAAACATGTGCAGTATGCACCCAGTTTATCTCCACTGTTAATAATTTTGGTCGTGGAAAACTTATATTCTCAAGGAAATGGCTAAACAGTTCAGTTTTATATATGAAGTATGTTGTGTTAAAGCAGTATAGTAAATATAGGTTTGATAAAGTCAGTATTGCATGTGTTTCAACTTTTTTTGGTAAACATGGCTTCAAAAATTCCCCAAAATGTTGTCTCTCTAGGTGCAGTGTGGATCTCTCTTCAGTCCCATAGTGAGCCACTGAGAAGGGCAACTGTTCCCATTTAACCCTTGCAGCAAAATTGCTTTGCTGCAATAAAACTATTTTTGTCATTCAGTAGCTTTGGATGGATGCTCTTCCAAATTAATATTTCTGTTTCTTTTGTCATTTCTTTGTCCTTCTCAACCTGTACGTTGAATGATTCTGCCCTTCTTCCTTCCAGGAATTCCAAGAGCTTTGGCCTCATCTAGCACTGGTGGTAGATGGAGGCCCGATTGGGGACCTACAGAGGCCAGAGTGCCGTCTGGGCTCCACAGTGGTTGACATCTCTGTCCCTGGCAAGTTCAAGGTCATTCGTCCAGGCTGGTAAGGCCTCCCAGAACTTGTGGTCATGCATTGCCTTTTGGAGCAGAGATCAAAAAAAAATAGTGCAGTTATTTTTCCCAGTGAATTTTTTTTTCTTTGCTTCATCTTTGGGGTGGCCCTTTTCTCCTGTATTGACTTTTGAAGACCTTAAGGACTCCTTTCTGGCTCCTTGCCTTGCAAATGAAGAGGATGGAATCCTGCAATCTCCAGAATATTGGGGGGCCCAAGAGAGCCCTCTGAAATGACTAATTATGAACCACTGTGTTTGTTCTCACTTGTAGTGTGGGACGCACTATCTTAACTGACGCAAATCTTGCACTCTTCCCTCTAGCTTGCTTCATTGGCATGGGCTTGGGACTGGGAGACCTGAGTTCAGATTTGCACTGATATAAGAATTTAGCACTACTAAACTGGCACTGTCAGTGTTCAAAAATAATATCAGTGTGAAACTAAGGTTACTCAGTTCTCACACCCTTCTCTCTATATTTGTCTTTCCACAGTGCGCTTACCCAGACTGTTGAAATCCTGGTAAAGAAACATGGCTTGACAGCAATATCCTGATCTATAAAACTCATGAGGGGGTGCAACTGAGTGCTCCTTGGCTCTTCAGGAAATCACTCTCAATGGTCTTGTTTATGAAGGGATAAGGGGGTTAATTCTGCCCAGGGAAAAGCTGTTTGGTAAAAAGGGAACCTTCTTTCCCCCCCTTTCCACTAGCCCCCATGTCTCCTTATGGCTTAAAAATACCCTTTTTGTGACTGAGGCAATGATCCCATAGGTAATGGGACCTTTTTGAAATGTGGAGTTTTTAGTATTGGACACAACTAAAATGGAAGAATTCTTCAACGTGAAGTAGTCAGTTCTCTCCACTGACAGAACTGATTATTTGTATGAGCCAAAGATTGAGGGATTCTATCAGAAGCCTTCTTTATTGACTGCTCTGTTTCCTTGGGCATGTGTGAACTGGGGGGGGGGGGTAAGCAAGTGCAACTTGGAGAGATGCAAAGAAATGGAAGGTGGGTTGGGAGTATGCCCCTTAGTTAGGGACCAATCTGTCTTTAACCCCACGTCTGCTGAGCAGATGTGGTCTATAGCATGTAACAGGCTGCATTTGAACCAGTGTAATTAAAATGGAAACTCTGTGTTGAAAGTTGCCTCTGTCTCCATTCTTCCAGTCACATGGCCCCTGGGTGGGGAGAGGTGGTGATCTAAAGCTCTGTATCAGGTAGGTGTGACATGCAGCCCCCCCCCCCCTTTGCTGTTGACCACACCCCAGCTTCACCAGGTTGGAGCCAGCTATGTGCCAGAAACCCACAGCTAAGGTGGTTCCTGTTGGATCCCCAGGCATTCGAAATAACTCCACATTTGGATCAAAGTAAGGTTTATTTCAAAGCGATGGTTCAAACAGGAACAAGGACATTGTTAGGAATGACTACCAATACACATGTGTAACATAATAAAGGGATTTGAACCAGGTTAGGGCCAATGAGCCCAGTTCCCGCTGGCGGGAATAGAACTTGCAAATGCGCGCCCATTTCATGGGAACATAACAGTTCTACACAATCAACACAGGTTCAGTTCACAGGCTAGATACCCATAACAAGCTGAGCGAAGCACCGACTCCCACCACCAGCTGCATGACCTTGGCCAGTTCCGCAAAGTACAGAGTAAGCATAAAGAAGCAAAAGGAACCGGGGGGGGGGGGGGGGGGAGGGCAAAAGATGTGTTAAGCAGGTAACACCAGACACAATGGCAGCTAGCTGACAGTTCCCTCTTCTCAATCAGCGGACTCTCTTTTTGCCCTCATCACACCCCTCCATGTATTCCTCGGATTTTCCTGACTTCTGAGTGCCCTCTCCTCTGGGGCCTTCCTTACCATGTTCAATCATGCTACTGCTTTCCTTCATTCACCAAAATCCATCAAATGACCTATACTCTATGTTCAGTTTCCTTGTAAAATCCTAGAGCATATTGTTACTTTTTCAGTTCTCAACTCTTCTCTCAAGCCTTTAGAAACTAATTTTCATCCCCTTTACTGCACTGATACTGCTTTAATCAAAACTATTGAGAAATTAGGTCTCTTCTTTGTTGTCATTCCCCTAGCCTCCTCTACTGCCTCTGAGACAATCATGCTTTCCTGCTTAGCTCCCTTAATGCCCACGGTTTCTGCAACTGTCCTCAGTGAGTTCCCTTCTTGCCTGTGGAATCACAAATGAAATGCCTGTAGTCTGGGCAGATGAGAAATGTATTCTGCGGGAAGGGTGATTTCAGAGGTGCTGCCCGGGACTAAGAGGTGCTGAAATGTGATCTGGTTTAATGTGCTGGGCTTTCAATCGTGAGGCGCTAGGACGATGCCTAGAAATTATTGATAAAGCAAGCACACCTGACTGTATGTGCCCAACAGCTGCCTGGTATTCATCCTGGTCTACATACTTGGATCTAGGTCAGGATAACAAGATTTGGAGGGCACAGTGATTTGAGGCATCAGAGATTTTCATGCTGGAAGTTGGTTTATCATTCCGAGGCCTTGACTCCCCCAAGCACAGAGATTCATTGTTTCCATCTGTCTAAGCCACTTCTTTGGCTGCAAAGGTGTGTACTTTTCCAGGACATGGGAATGTTTAAATCTTCACACTGCCTCCTTAATTAGTTCGTTATGTACCTTAACTTTATTGCACTTTATCTTTACCACACGCAAGAGAAGCCAGAACCTCTGACCTCTCTCATTATCCATTAAACTACCCAAGTGGCTCAAGCCCCCATCATATAGCAGGGCACCTAATTTATGTATCATTTATTTAAAATATTTATTAGTTGCCTTTCTGCCTTACGGGAACTGGAGGTGACTTACAATGCAAACAGCAAAAAAACCCAGTAAAATACCTTAAAAAAACAATTTAAAACTACCAATAAGAACTGAAACTAATCAACGGCCATCACACATAAAACCATCTTCAGTTGCCTCCTAAGGCTCCCTGCAGAGGTTGTTTCAGATTCATGATGCTGCCACTGAAAAGGCCCTTTTGCGCGCGTACCCACCATGAGCTTCTTTGGTGATTCCTGGCCCCAAAGATAATCGGCTAGCCAGGGTCAGGGCTTCCTCAGCCTTGGCCCCAGCCTGGTGGAACTCGCTGCCGAATGACATCCATGCCCTGTCTGACCTACTAAAGTTCTGCAGGGCATGCAAGGCAGAGATGTTCCGCCAGGCCTTTGGTTGAGGCCAGCAACGGTTCCCTTACATCTACCCGGCACCCTCCCCTCCCCCTTATGAAAATCTGAATGCTAAAAATCTATAGGTGAAATATGCCATCTTGTTAAAGTGCTTAAATACTTATGCTGAATGTTTTAATATGGAATTTTGTAGTTTTAACTGGTATTAAAATTGGATTTTATGTTGTTGTAAACCGCCTGAGCCCCAAGTAAGCGGGGGAAGGGCGGTTAAGAAATCAAACTAAATAAATAAGACTGTCCTTCAGATAACCCAGTCCTAAGCCATGTAGGACTTTAAAGGTCAAAACCAACACCTTGAATTAGGCTTGGGAGTAGATCAGAAGCCAGTGTAATTGCTGTTGCATTGGAGTCATGTGATCCCAGTACCTGGCTCTGATCATCAGTCCAGCCACAGCTTCTGAACACTCTTCAAGGGTAGCCCCAAGTATGGTACACTGCAGCAGTTCAGCCTAGATGCAACTAAGGCATGTCACTGTGCCTAGATCAGGCTGAGCCAGGAATAGGTGCAAGTGGTACATTGGCTGAAGCTGGGCCAAAAGCAGTCCTAACTACAGCAGCCACCTGATTTTCTAAGGTGACTGCTGTGTCGAGCGGCGCTCCTGAGCTGTTTTTCAAGGGGCGTGTAACTCCCATCGAAGCCGGGAAATCTGAAATCCCTGGTCTGTACTTCTACTAACCCAGAGCACCTCTGTCTTGTCAGGACAGATTGTTTCAACTTGTTCACCTACATGCAGTCCATTACTGACCTCAAGAACTGGTTTTGCACATCAACAGCTTCCTTGGAATTAGATGGCGGATGGAGAAAAGGTTAGCTGGATATCATCCACATATTGGTGACACCACAGCCCAAACCTCGAGTCCTGATGACGTCTTGATATTAAATAGCATGATATTAAATAGCATGGGGAATAAAAATGACCCCTGCAGAACCCCACAGGCCAGGCCCTTCTTTGCTCAACTCCTCCCTCTTTCCCCCTTTTCTGTGTAAAAATGTGGGAAATTATTTTCTTCCTGTTATATCTGAGGAAGTGAGACAGATGAGGGGAATGACTAGGGGATCCCTTGCAGCACTAGACTGAAATGAATGTTCCTGAGAGCAGCAACCCAGTGGGCACAAAGGGCACTCTGCAAAGCTGTCTGTGCAAGGGCCAGGAGCAATGCTCCTGAACCCAAAAAAACTAGGCCACAATCCACATAATACCTTTTATTATACATGTGCCATAAAGTCGCAACCAACGTATGGCAAGGAAACCCAGACAGGGGCTTTCAGGGCAAGCGAGAAGTAAAGGTAGTTTGCCGTTGCCTTCTTCTGCAGAGCCTTCCTTGGTGGTTTTCACCCAACCCTGCTTCGCTTCTAAGATCGGACCATACCACACCGTTCTACAGCCCAATGATTCGCACCAGCCAAGCGACATAAAACGGTACGAATTTTCCTGAATTCTCAGGCCGGATGTCAAACTCCGCCCCGGGTGTAAAAAGAGAACAATCCCTCCCGGGTGCTAACAACGCCTTTCTAGGCTCTCGAACAGAGTCCGCTCCCCAGCGCGCCGCACCACTTTGCGGAGGGCGACCGCTCTCAGCCGGCCTGCGTGCTCCTCTAGCACGACCGGGTCACGGGAGCTGTAGGGGCCCCGGATGCACGCTGCTGGTGGCTGGCCCGGCGAACTGCCACGTAAAGGCGCCCTTCCTTGAGCCCGGACGCCGCTGGAGGGAGCCGTCTGCGCAAAGGCCGGCGGCAGGACACGGTGTAGGTTCTCCGACGCGGCCCCCTTGCTTCGGCGGGATAGCGCGAAACGGCTCTCTATACCGCTCATCTCTCTGATCTCTCCGGCAGAGCGTCATGACTGCGGCCCCGGAACTGTATTGGACAGCGCCGGGCGGGTGTTGGCAGGTGAGGCAAGGGATTCAGCGGGCTGGTTCTGGGGCGCTCCCGGGATTTCAGCTCCTTCGCGCCCTGAGTTTCGGTGTCGTGCAGGTCGGGGCGGCGGAGCTGGGACACTTTTGTCCCTGGTCGACATGTAATGCACCGTGGAAGGTTCCGGTGTTTTCACCGTCCAGGACAAAAAAGTTCAGCCCAGCATCCCACTAGGCAGTTTGTCCTGCGGTGACTGTAGGAAGCTGTCTGCCCGAATCAGAGGTTGTGACGGTGGCGTTTGCATTTACTCAGCCAGTGGGCACATGAGCTGGCACAGCTTCAGGCACAGGAGAGGCAGAAAGGGGGGGGGGGGGGATGGCTGTCCTAGTAGCAGATCTCGCAGCACTCAAGCCGCCCCTCCAGCTGGTGCTGTGTTTTGAGAAGACAATAATCTATTTTTTCTAGAGCTTGTTAGGGCGACAGTGATGAGCAGAGCCCAGTAAAGTGCTTTCTGGTCAAGCCCCTCCAGTGAACTGGCATCCTGGGAAGAGAAGGGACGAATCTGGCAGTGCATGACTAGGATGTTCTCCACAATGATGGTGGTTCAAGGCTGACGCCTGAGTTGCTGAAGCAGTTAGCTTGGCCAGGATGCTGCCTTCAGTAAACAAACAATGTGTTACTTAGACAAACTGCCGCATGCAGTCATAAGAGTTCTAGGAGTAAAACTTTCTAGCAGTAAAAATATTTTTTGTATTGTGGGCAAAATTAGTCACATTTAAACAACAAGCACATCTTTAAAATATGTTGTGTATGTATTACAGTATGTACAGGAGTGATCACTATCTGACTAGCCAATGCAGACCTTTTAAAAAAAGAATATTTTATTGATTTTCAGAAAGAAAAAATAAAAAACCCGAGTGTTACAATGTATCTAATCAAATTTCTTATACATAACAACGTTAACTAATATTTTACCATATCAGAAACTTCCATCTTAGCAACACTATATATTAAAAGCTGCTTATTTCTTTAGTCTAACACAAATCTAAATAAACTACTAGCATTTCTACTATATATAATCTAAAATCAGGTTAAGCTTATATATTTCTACTATGTATGACAAAAAAGGACATGTTAACCATCTTTTTACTTGACATCTTTGATCTAGAGTTAGTACAATCGAAATTTCTCAGAGCACTCTTCAACGCCCCAAAAGGTACTGCAAATTTGGGCTTAAGACAAGAAGCAGGTTTATCTACTGTTACATTGAATATTTGGATACAGAGGAGTAACTATTGGGTTAAGTCCCATCTGAATCCGGTGGGACTTATTTCTGATCTTTTGTCATCAACACCATATCCCCAATGGGCTCTTAGAGTAGTAGATAAATTGAAATCAATTGGGTTAGATCCTGAAAATTTGCTAGAGGGAGGGTTGCAGCATGCAAAGAACTTAATATATCAAAGATTTAAGGATATTGAAGCACAAAACGACTATGCAGCCCTGCCTTCCTATTATAAGAGACTAAAGCTGGGACCAAGTTTAAATGCCGCATCTTACCTTGGTCTCATAAAAAACCCTAACATAGATGGGTGTTTACTAGAGCACGGCTTGATGCGTTACCCTCAGCAGTACCTTATGGTAGATATACCCGGACTCCCATGCACCAGAGAATTTGCTCTGTCTGTTAGAGCAGGTGGAGTCGGCCTCCCATATATTACTCCATTGTCCTAAGTACGACGAAGAGAGACAGCAGTTGTTGATACCCCTTCTCTCACGTTTTAAACCCTTGGCTAATTATCTTACATATGCCGAGGAATGTTTGATGAAGTTTTTATTGGCTGATACTTATGATTCTGTCTCACGCAATGTTGCTAAATATTGTTATTTGGTAATTAAAAAGCGTAGAATGTACTGTAACCCGAGCCATTAATGACGGAATTGACCGGTTTCGTATTTAAGGCTGCAAGGATTCTATGTCGTAGACTCGGTGTTGTACTATTTTGGTTTATTTTGCTGGTCTTATGACTGTTCTTAATAAATTTGATTTGTATTGACATCTTTAAGGGGGGAAAAGCAGTATGTAAATAAAAACCGGAATAAAGGTATTACCAGTTTCCATTCTAACTTCATGTTAAACTCTTGTATAAGATCCAGTTCAGTTTCAGCTAAAGTTCATTTGAATCAGTCACACCTAAACCAGAGTTCCCTATATTACTCTACATGAAAACATAATGTAAATAGCAACGTTCTCATAACATACTGATATCTTCATTAAAATCCAAATCCGATAAGATTTTCTTAATGGGTTACAGCTGTAAGTTACATATTTATTACTATACACAAATTATCTATACTTTTATTTTTATATTTTTGTTTTTACTCATAATATCACATATTTACTTCATATTTTAATTGACATTCATAATCTTTACTATTGTGTTGTTAAATCAATTTCAGCTATAACTCATTTTAGTCAGTTACACATAGACCAAAACATTTTATATCACTCTAGTTATATTTAATTCTTTTTTTCTTTTTCTGTGCTCTTTTTTCCATTACAGTCATAATCCTATGCCTTTTCTCTTTGTATGTGGAAAAATTTGCCTTTGCTTCTTCCCATCTGTATTCATTTCTTGGAGTAGTTAAGGATTCCTGTCTTGTGTAGCTTCTTGATTTCTCTTTACAATAGATCCTCTTGTATCTTCTTTACCCTTTGAAAAATTAAAGTTTGTCATATTTTTCATAGGTCCGTTAATTTGTCCTGTGTATCTTCTTATATTCTCTTTGGCTGGAAAGGAAATTCGATAGGCTGAATCATCTTGCTTGGAGTCCTGCTCTTTGGCTAGGCTCTGTTGTCTCTCCTTTCTGTATCATTTTGGAGATTTAAAGGGGCTTATTCAAAGATATCATCATACTCTTCAATGTTGCTGTTGTTGTTACAGGTACTCACAGGTGCATGTCTTCATCGGTGTTCTGGATGAGGCTCAAAATAACTCTCTTGCTTTGGGGGCAACATCTGGTGCTGTTATGGCTGCCATAACTGGTATTCTCCATTCCCTGCTTCTGGGACGATTCAGGGCTTCCACCTGCTTGTTGCCTCAAGCAAAGGGCCCGAATCAAGTCCCTTGCTCCAGAACTCCCTCCAGGAGGTTCAGTAGGGTTCAGGATCCCCTGAAACCCCCCTAGAAAGAATGAAGAATCAGTCGTAGCCAGGAGCAGTTCCTGGTGTCAGAATGTTAGAGTTGGAAGGGACCTTGCAGATCATCTAGTCCAACCCCCTGCACTCTGCAGGAGCATAGTCTGAAGATAGCCCTACAACATACCTGAAAGATGGTCATCCAGCCTCCGCTTGAAAATGTCCAGCGAAGGAGCACCCACCACCTCCCGAGGCAGACTGTTCCACTGCTCAACCACTCTTACAGTTAGGAAGTTTCTCCTGATATTTAGCCGGTAACAACTCCCTTGTAATTTCCACCCATTAGATCTAGTCTTGCAATCCAGAGCAAGAGAGAATAGATCCAATCCATCTTCTACATGACAGCCCTTCAGATACTTGAAGACTGCAATCATGTCCCCTCTAAGCCTTCTCTTTCCCAGGCTAAACATACCCAACTCTTTCAGCCTTTCCTCATAAGACTTGGATTCCAACCCTCTCACCATCCTGGTTGCCCTATTCTGGACACACTCGAGCTTGTCAACATTCTTCCTAAAATGTGGTGCCCAAAACTTGACACAGTACTCCAGGTGAGGCCTGACCATAGCAGAATAGAGCGGAACTACCACCTCCCGTGATCTGGACACAATGCTTCTGTTAATGCATCCTAAGATTGTATTAGCTTTCTTCACAGCCACATCTCACTGCAGGCTCATGTTTATCTTGTGATCAACCAGAACACCCAGATCCCTTTCACATGTGCTGCTGTCAAGCCAAGTCCCTCCCATTCTATATCTGTGCTTTTGATTTTTTGTACCTAAGTGTAGGACTTTGCACTTCTCTCTATTGAAATTCATTTTATTTGTCTCCGCCCACTGCTCCAGCCTATTTAGATCATTTTGAATCCTGACTCTGTCTTCTTCAGAATTAGCAATCCCACCCAGCTTCGTGTCATCTGCAAATTTGATAAGCATCCCCTCTATGTCTTCCTCCAGGTCATTTATAAAAACATTGAACAACACCGGGCCTAGGACCAAGCCCTGCACCACTCCACTCGAGACTTCCCTCCACGTAGATGCAGAGTCATTTATGAGCACTTGTTGGGTACGATTTTTCAACCAACCATGAATCCATCCAACGGTTGCACCATCCAGCCCACACTTAACCAGCTTATCCTCAAGGATGTAATGAGAAACAGTGTCGACTGTCTCGATGCGCCGAAGCCCCTCCCTCCTGAGACTAGCCAATGCAGACCTTGATGCACCAGAGGCCTGACTCTGCATGTCAGCTTCATATATCATGTTAAAGTCACAGAGAAGGCCCAAGTGCCAGCCTCTGCACTTTCCTCTTCCTTGTTACTAGTACTTACTTGTAGTAATTAACTTAAAATAATATATTAAGTTGTGGAACCACAAAGGCAAGATGGTGTCCTACTTCCTATTTAGCAGTAGGTAAATTCTGTAAATCAGAATTTAGTGAGCCTGCTGCACTTCTGCTGTCTTCCAGGGATGCAAGCAGGATGCCTTTAGTGCTGCCTTCCCTGTCTTGGATGCCCAAATGCCAGCAGTTGTAAAGCTGTCTGTTTCTTCCACAAGATACAAACAATGCCTATGGTTTGCCCTGACTTGAGACTTCTAGTGGCCAGCCATGGCTGATTTCTTGGGTTGCCAAATGCCTCTCTGGGCCTGCCTTGCAAATCAAACTTGTAATTTAAATTTAAAAGTGCAGCTCATTGTGTTGCCTGTCTAAACTTTGGCAGGTGGCACCCAGGAGTTGGTGCGTCTCTGCAAAAAAAAACACCCCAGTTGGATAGGAAACAAAGTCAAACCTGGCAATGTTTCCTGTATAAATCAATGGAAATAAAAATGTAATTCAGAAGAAGAAGAAGAAGAGATTGGATTTATACCCCGCCCTTCACTACCCAAAGGTGTCTCAGAGCGGCTTACAAACTCCTTTCCCTTCCCCTCCCCACAACAGACACCCTGTGAGGTGGGTGGGGCTGAGAGAACTCTGACACAAACTGCTCTTTTTCAAGGACAGCTGTGCCAGAGCTTGTGACTGACCCAAGGTCACATCAGCAGGTGCAAGTGGAGGAGTGGGGAATCAAACCCGGTTCTCCCAGATTAGAGTCCGCACACTTAACCACTACACCAAACCACTACAGCAAATGGGGATAACATCAACCCAAATCTAGAAAATCACAACTTGCATGTTCTGCTATCATAACCAGCAGCTTTTTGCCTATGGCTCATTTTAGCCCCAGTTCTGTTTGTTTGCCCCTAGGATGGCCTCAGATGACTCACTTCTCCCTCACACCCTACGCTGCTTCCTGCAGAAGTGTTTTCGTGCCCTCCAGGAGCAGCATGAAACCTGGAAGACTGCACTGGCTGCGTGTACGTCTCTTCTGGGTTCTCTGAGCAACCTGGCAGAGCAGATGCAGGCATCCCAAAAAGTGGCCTTTGCCAACACTCCACTGCGAGACTTCCCAAGTCTGCCAGAGAGACTTAGATGCCGCCAGCAATGTGCAGCGGAAGCTTTGATGGAAGAGCTATGGGGAAAACTGTAAGACTACCTTTCGTGTGGTGTGATGTACAGTGCAGGGTGGGGGATTTCAGGGGCTGGTGCACGTTTGTCAGAAGGATTTGGCAACTCCTGAAAGTCACCAGTTTTTACTGACATTATAAACTATTTCATTACTACTTCTGTTGGCAGGGTATATCACTTTTGCAGCATTGAGGTAAATTTGACTGCTTATTCTACAGCGGTTTCTAGTGTGTTTAGAAGTCTCATCATAGAACCCCATGAGACAATTTACTGAGTATCAGTGACTTTGCACATGGCCACTCAATGAGCTGTCCAAGCCCATTACAATACGTTGAGTCATTCCAAAACTGCTGACTTTTTTTTCCTTGAAGAAGAAGAAGAACGTGCTTTTGAGTCGCAACTGACTCATGGCAAGCTCATCCACAGGGCGTTCCAGCCAAAGATCAGCCGGGCTGGGAGTCTGATGTTAATCTGAGTCCCACTTGCTGTTGAGGGACACAGTGAACCAACACAGATTCATTGAGCTGGTGGAAGGTGCCGTCAAGGTGCAGTCTGACTGCAATGCCTCATGGGGTTTTCATTACCTTTCACTGCATAGCAGCCCCGTTTTTCTTGGTGGAAGTATTGACTATGGCCGACTCTGCTTAGCTTCCAAGTTCTGACAAGCTTTTTCTTTGAGGAATGCTAGCAAGCATTGCCCACAAGGGTCAGCTGGACTTGCCCAGGAAGTGACGCACACCTTATCCCCTACATGAGCTTGCACGTACGGGGGGGTGTTCAGCATGTGATTGTAGGAACTTCCTGCATTGTCCAGAGTTGCTCCATATAGCTGCATTTTATGATGTGTTTTCTGTTTTGTATGTAGACTTGACCTGCAGAAAGTGCGGGATACAGTTGGCGTTCACGTAGCCTCTATTTTCCAGCTCTATGAGCAGCAAGAAGGCCTGTGCCAGGAGAGTGCTTTCCAGCGCTCTGTGCTTTGCCCATCATTGGCAGATATGCTAGAGTGGCTGCTGGACATGGAAGCTTTTTATCACAGCATGTATCCTTTGAACAAGTTCTCCCCGTGATGTCCTTTGAAGCCAGACTGTGTTCTGACTGAAGGGGAAAGGGAACAACGCCTGTCTTGTGCTGAAGGACTGTAGATTAGGGGCAATGCTGGGGGGAGCTGCAGGCCCTCAAGCCCTTCCTGGCTGTCACCTGGAACATCTGGAGCAGTTTGAAAAGGCAACTGGAGCCCAGTATCATCTGCTTTGACTGGCAGTAGCTGGCTAAGGTCTTTGATAGAGAAATGCTTTTCCTGGCACCTCATGACTGGAGATGTTTGGAACTGGAGCTCTTTATTTATTAGATTTTCTTCTTAGTTGCCGCACACTCGAAGGGTCTCGTGGCGACTTACAATATTAAAACCAATAAGGAAAAAACAACATAGAAACAAATAGCAAATATAAAATATTAGCATTAAAATATTGAAATATGTGACTATCACCGACCGTACCACTTTTACAGCAGTCTGAATGTGGTTACCCTTCAAAGGCCAACCTAAATAAATCAGCTTTGCATTCCCTGCAGAAATTTTAAAAGTCCAGCAGGGCATACAGGTATCATCCGAGAGTGCATTCCACAGAGTAGGGGCCAGAACTGAGAAGGCCCTTCCCCTGGTGACAGCTAACCGAGCCATCCTGGGGCCAGGCACCTGCAAGAGGCCTCTAGATGAGGACCGAACAGGATCAAAACAGGAGAGACAGTCCCGTAGATATGAGGGTCTCAGACCCTTGAGGGCTTTGAAGGTAAACAACACCTTAACTTGGATTTGGAGACTAATTGGTAGCCAGTGCAGCTGCCGCAGAATTGGAGTTATATGAACTGACCATGATGTTGCAGTCAGTAACCTGGCAGGTGCATTTTGGACCACCTGGAGTTTCTGAAGCGCTTTCAAGTGTAGCCCTATGTAGAGTGAATTGCACTAGTCCAGTCTGGAGGTGACCGATGCATAGATCAATGTGGCAAGGTGTAACCCAGACAAATAAAGAGCCAGCTGGCGGGCCTGGTGCAGGTGAAAAAACACTGACCGCGCTGCCGTGGACACTTGCATATCCAATGATAGTACAGAATCCAGCCACACCCCCAGGCTCTTTACAGAGTCTACAGCTGTCAACTGACCACTATTGAGTCTCGGGAGTGACCCTCCAGCTAGCATTTCAGTCTTTCCCAGCCACATGACCTCTGTCTTGAATGGATTCAACTTCAGCCAGCTCCCTCTTAACCCCAACGCATATAGTCTGCCAATGACCCATGGATCCTTCCTCCACTGTTCACCGTTAACAAGCTGAGAAAGCGGGGGGGGGGGGTAGTCAGAGTGCTTTCAGAATAACCTTCCCATCAGCAGTGACAGGATTCAGGACTTCTGGATGGCTCCACCCATCTCTTTCTTCCTGATCTGTTTTGCCCCTCTGATTTGTACAGGATGTGGTGGGTGCAGTACTTCCTGTATCCCAGCCTCTCTAGGCCCCTGTTCCTCTAGTGTTCTTAACTTCTGGAAAAGCTGCCTGGAGGTCAAGATGCTGTTTCTCCAGGTCACATATGAAGACTTGCCCAAGATGCAGACTCTTCCACAGGCCTGGGAGCAGGTGCTGCAGCACAGCCTCCAAAACATGGTTGAAGGTAACCATAGCCATGGGGAGGATCTTGCCTTTGGGGGTAGGGCGAGCTGTACGGGACCCTAGAATATGAGCACTGGAGAGAAACTGCCCCCAAATATGTCAAGACTTATCCCTGTGTATTATGATAGCAAAAACGGTATAATTTTTCTTTTTGTATTTGTGTTTGTATGTTTGCGAGCCTGGAAGTCATGGTGACTTCCGGCAACCCCTAGCGGGGCTAGGACATTACCTGCTTCTGCGTCCTGGCCCTGGTATTCCTTGGAGGTCGCCCTTTCAAGTACTTGCCAGGGCTGGCCCTGTTTAGCTTCCGAGTTCTGACAAGATTGGGCTAGCCTGGGCTATCCAGGTCAAGGCCCCAAAACTGTATAATTAATAATTAAATGCTGTCAAGTTGCAACTGACTTATGCTGACCCCTGGTGGGGTTTTCAAGGCAAGAAAAGAACAGAGGCAGTTTGCCATTGCCTGCCTCTGCATCGTGACTCTAGACTTCCTTGGTGGTCTCCCATCTAAATACTAACCAGGGCTTCCCCTGCTTAGCTTCTCAGATGTGATGAGCTCTGGCTAGTCAGAGTTATTAAGGCTGCGACAACTGTGTAGAAAACTGTATGAACTATATAGCAGTGTAGAATGTCTACAGCACTTAGTATATGTTTGTTTGTTAATAGTCCTGTAAGGCAGTGCAGTCTCCATACAGCAGGTGCGGGGAGGGGGAGCTAAGGCCGGGAGAGAGTACAACTGCAGAGATCAAACTTCTGACCCAGTCTCTTAGTCACTGTCCTGTATCAGCTTTCTAGATCATGGGGTTAGTGGCCATGAGGTCCTCTCTGAGTCTGCATGTCTCTGAATGAGTTGATTCTATGGCTTTAACTTGCTCGGCTGCTGGGGCTTGTTAGGACTTTCTTCTGATCTTTCTTCTCAGATGTGATACTGAAGGTCTCCTTCTTCCTGGAAGCCGGCTGAGGATCTGCCCCTGCAGTGTGGCCCCAGAAGCTCTCACACCACTTTGCACTGGGCTTTCCCACCAAGCCTGGATCCGTAGGCCGGTGACATGGCTGGGAGTGAGCAGCCTTTGAAAAGGGGCAGCAGTTGTGGGCTGCTGCCATTGGGCTCCTCGCCACCATTTGAGGTGTGGTGGGGAGGCTCTCTGCGTGAATAAAAACTGATGATGTGCCCTTGAATGTTGAAGTAGTTCTTCCCCATCTGTGACTCCAAATTCAACCAGTTCCCTCTCTCTGTTGTTGTTTTTTTAACTGACCCAGTGGGTGCAGATGAAGGGCTCAGTGGGAATGTCACTCAGTGGGAATGTCAATCACAGCCGAGGATGAATAATTGAAAAACCGATCCCAGATCTGGATAAGCACTTCCTGTTCCCCTCGCCATGAGCCTCCGCAGCTCTGAATGGGAGCGTGGTTGTCCTCCTTGGGGTGAGATGAGCAGGACACTGGTCATCTGTCTCCCAGACCCAAGCAATACGGTGTGAGGCTGGAGTACCTTTGCCTTTCTCTCTCTCTCTTACCCCCTGTACTTCTTGGGAGAGTAGGGTTTTTTCTGCGGAATGCTAAAGAGAACCTCTGCACTGAGAGGCAGTCAACCTCTCAATACCAGTTCCAGGAGGCAACATCTTAGGAAGCCCCCAGTTTCTATGCCCTGTTGGCCCTCCAGAGGAACTGGTTGCCCACTGCGTGAGACAGGATGCTGGACTAGATGGACCACTGGTCTGACCTAGCAGGGCTCTTCTTGTGCTGTTATGCCTGCCCCTCAGCATGTGCATTCCCTGTACCAGGATATTGACGTTGCCCCTGGGAATCCTGGATCCCCAAGATGCCGCCTTCAGGTGCAAGCCCTGGTTTGCTTGGCCTCTTCTCTGTCTCTGTACAAAGAAGACAGCCTCAGTATTCTGTGGGCTCTGGCCAGGCAGTGCTCCTCACGAAAGGCTTGGCTATAGCAGGGACATTGGCACAGAGGTGGGAGTGGCCATGGCTCAGTGGTAGAGGCTCTGCTTAGCATGGAAGAAGAAGAAGAGAAGAGATTGGATTTATACCCCGCCCTTTGCTACCCAAAGGTGTCTCAGAGCGGCTTACACACTCCCTCCCCTTCCCACAACAGACACCCTGTGAGGCAGCTGGGGCTGAGAGAGCTCTTGACAGAAACTGCTCTTTTTCAAGAACAGCTCTTAGGTGCAAGTGGAGGAGTGGGGAATCAAACCCGGTTCTCCCAGATTAGAGTCCGTGCACTTAACCACTACACCAAACTGGCCAGGTTCAGCCCTGAGCATCTCCAGTTTAAAAGGATCAGATGGGAAAGCCCTTAGGCAGAGCCATGGGGAGCCACAACCAGTCTGAGTAGGCAATATGGACTTTGATGGACCCATGGATCTATTTTAGTATAAGGCAGCTTCACGTGGGTGGGAAGTTTCAGTGAATTCCCCCCCCCTTCCTGCTGCACAACTCTGCCCTCCCCACCACCTGTTTCCTTTCTCCCAGGAACAGCATTTCAGGACGCATCCTTGGTTGCTGTGGGAGGGGTAAGGTGAGGAAGCAGCATTCCACAGTGAGGCAGCTCTGGTGGGTCCGAGCCAAGATAGGCAATGTGGATTCACAGTTAGTATAAACTATGGCTTATAAACAGATGCAAACTCAAACTGGAAATCCTGGTTGGTGGGACTATTTGCATTTAGACCAACCATTTGCATTTAGAATCAACTGCCATTCATAAACAGTGGTTTATTGTAATATATGAACAGAGCCACAGTGGCAATTTGGGGGTGCTGGAGGTGCAGACTACTGTGCTGGATTGACCACCAGGCCATCAGGATCGCTTCAGGACTGGTCTTGCCTCCTGCCAATTTGCAGGGAGACTGCTTGCTGCTGTCCTCACTCTGTTTCTGTTTTCTCTGGGCCCGTTCTGCAAAGCCCAAGCTATAGGGAGATTCCCATCCTTGTCAGATGCAGTGAGGAGCCCAGAGGTGTTGCTTCATTCTTTGACCACCTGCTCCAGGGACTCAGCAGCAGGTGCCTTAGTTTTACTGTTTCCATTTGTTCTTTGCTATGACGGGTGGCAGTAATGGGGGGAGCAGATTCCTCCCTCCCTGTCAGAAGAAGGAGACAGCCTGCCTGCAAACAGCTGTCTGAGGAAGTGTGCAGGCGCACAAAAGCTCATACCGTGAATAAAACTTTGTTGGTCTTCAAGGTGCCCCTGGACTCAAACTTTGCAAGCAGCTTTGTTCGCCTCAGTGGATTGACAAGCCTCTCCCTTCCTGTGCTGACTTCACTTCCTCCTTGCAGCCAAGGCTCAGCTTCTTGGCTGGGGCTTCCTGATACCTTCACAGATCCCCGGGAGAGGCACTCTCTGGGGTGACCTCTTTCCATGCCCAGCCAAGTCAGAGCAGCCAGGATGTGGAGACAAAGCCTTCCTGCAAAAATAGCTTGTGGTCAGTAGAAATTCTGAGGAGTTGGCGGCCTGACTCACAAGAAGCTATTCCTCTTGTTTTGGGTTTTTTTAAAAAAATAATTGTATTAGTTTATATAAAGACTAGGGAAAGGGAAAAGAAGGAGGAAGAGAAAATTGCAGAAATATTCAAAGTTCCAATTTAGCATTCTGCATGCGTATCTTCTCTTTACAATTTCGCAACTATTTCATCTATCATTATTCTTCACGTAATCTTATTTTCTCAACCGATTTCTCTTGTTTATGCCTTCAAGAAGAGTTGGCTTGGAGTAATGTGACAGAGTTTTGGCTCTGCTGTAAGGAGCCTGTAGGAATCCCACTATGTCCTCTCTTGAATAAACACAGACTTCTCCAGGAAGGTTCTCTCTTTTTTATGACCTGGATGCTAGTTTTATTTGTGATATTTTGGGTGCACACACCCACTATTTCTGTTGAGGGCCAGCGTACAAAGAGGTACAAAGCAAGAGGTTGGCTGAAAGGTTGTAAAGCTGAGAAAGGTTGGTGAAGGAGCATGAGGCCTTGGTCCACACAGGTTTATGCCCCCTGGACCCACACGTGGGCTTATGTAGCAGTGATCACCAATGTACTGATGACACCCAGCTCTGTATTTCTTTGTTCAGACTGCCTGGCAGTGCTGTAGCAGCCCTGAGGCAGTGCCTGGCTGTAGCACTTAGATGGCTAAAGGTGAAACTGGATCCTGATAAAGATGAGGTAGTATTGGGTAGGAAGGCTGAGGTCATGGAGACCATGGCGAGTACAGTGTTTCCCACATTTCTTGCCATTAAACTGCAGTTGTCTTATGGCAACCCTGTAGGGTCTTCAAGGCAAGAGACATTCAGAGGTGGTTTGCCCTTGCCTGCCTCAATGCAGCAGCCCTGGACTGCCTTGGTGGTCTCCCATCCAAGTACCAACCAGGGCTGATTCTGCTGAGCTGCCAAGATCTAACAAGATCAGGCTAGCCATTGCCTGCCTCTGCATAGCAATCACTGTCTTCCTTGGTGGGCTCCCATCCAAGTACCAACCAGGGCCGACCCTGCTTAGCTTCCGAGATCTGGTGAGATTGGGCTACAGCATATTCGTTGCTTGTAGACAAGTTTATTCACATTCTTGCAAATATTAGCATCACCTGAAAAACAAGGCAATAAGCTCCTAGTTTCCCAGTCTTTGTCACAGTCTAAGGCTGCAAAGATTGACCACAGGGGGCCAGGTCCAAAGGACTGAAGATCCAGGGTCCTGAGTTCTATGAGCTCCACTGAGTTCAAGGTCACCAGAGGAAGGTAAGCAGGGATGCCCTGTCCTCTCGTGAAGGTGTCAGATCCTTCAAGGTGCAGGAAGGCATCTTGGAGCTGAGTGCTGAATATGGCTACAGAATGCACAGGAATTATAACACATGAGGCACAAAGTTGCCTTATACCATTGGTCCATCAAGGTCAGTATTGTCTATTCAGACTGGCAGTGGTTCTCCGGGTCTCAGGCAGAGCTGTCTTTCATGTCACCTGCTGCCTGGTCCTTTGAACTGGAAATGCTGGGGATTGAACCTGGGACCTTCAGCATGCCAAACAAATGCTCTTCCAGTAAGCTACGTCCACTCCTGAATTGTTCTCCAAGCTGTGGATGGTCTTACATGAAAATCTTCATACTATTCATTCTGACTGAGTAAACCCTTGTCTTAGAAAGTATTTCCCTCATTCAAAAAATAAAATAAAAAATAGGAGTGTTGTTTTTCAGTGCTCCCTAACTTCTATTTTTTTACTGTAGGAAAAACCCACAAGGATGAAAAATAGTCCCTCCCCCACAATTTTTTCAGGCCTTCTCTACCCAGTCTTGTCTGTGCTGACTGACAGGTCTCAAGCACAGAGAGAGCTCTCCTAATCTTGAGGTTTGAGGGCCTTTTAACTGGTGATCCTGCCAGTGACAGAGCTAGGAACCCTCTGCGTATCTATGTTTGTGTGTTTTATGCTGATATTTAAATTGTTGTTTTATCTGTTGCGATTTTTATGTAAGCCGCCCTGAGCCTGCCTCAGCAGGGAGGGCGGGGTACAAATCAAATCAATCAATAAATGTCGTGTGCCGGGGGCGGGGGGGCTGTGGCTCAGTTGCTTTGCATGCAGAAGGTTCCAGGTCCCATTGCCAGCGTCTCCAGGTAAAAGGACCAGACAGTAGGTGATGTGAAAGACCTCCTCCTGAGACCCTGGAGTGAGGGTCTGATTCATTCCTCAGTATCTGTTAGCTGTGTGCCATGGCCAAAGCATGCTGTCCATCAGAACAGCTGGAAGGGGGGGCTCTCTGCTTGTTAATGTTCATGCCCAAAAGGGTGCCAGCAAGAGTGAGAGAGGAGTGGCTGGTGTGTGCAAAAGGCATCCCGTTTCCATGTCTTGTGCTCTCATGTGAGGGACTTTCACTGCCACAAGGTGGAGATATGATAAGGCTTCTTTCTCCAGCTCTTCCCTCCCAACAGTTTTCCGCTTGCCAAAGGCAGCTGCGTGTCTGCTGGCGGAAGGCCCAGCAGCGGAGAAGGGAGAGGAATTAAATCTCATTTAAGCCCACTTCGGTTGTAAATAAACTATAATCACTTCAAATGTTTTGCTTAATAAGGAAAGGATGTTAACCATTAGGCAGGCGAACACTCAGCAAGCGGGTCTCTGCTGCCAAACTGGAGAGAGAGACCGAAGTGGAAGGCGATTCCTCTTGCATCATGAAAACAAATCCGTTTGCCGGCCTGAGAGGACTTTTGTATTTCTTCAGGCCTGGGGCTGTTTCTGACCC